ACTGGACCCCAGCATACTCTATCTCTCTGGTTAAAAATGTCTAGCCAGAAGTGAGTGATTAGAAATCTCTAACCATAGTGCATTTTGTACAAAGCATTACCTCCTTGGGCTTCCAGTCTCTGGCTGTGTTTCACTTCCTGTTATCACCACTGTGGTGACCATGATTCTGGTTAAAGACACAAGGATGCTCTGGGTAAACTAAGAAAGTTACAAAGTAGTGTAGGCAAATAATCTCCAACTGGAATTTCAAAATACAGGTACTGAAATGAGGTAATAGACTCCTCTACTTCTTTTGAGGTTTTAAAACGTGCTGCAGTTGTTGAAAGTCCCTGGTCTAACAGATGTGTTCTCATCTGTTTGTGAGGGAAATTGTGGCTTCCTGAGATGTCCATGGGTCGGCACCTGCTCTGTTGCTGATGGTCTTGTTCCTTCCTGCTACCCCCAGGGCCCACCCACTGTCCAGCCCTTTCTGTAGCCCTGTCCACAGGACAGCTTAAGACCTACCCAGGGCAGAGTGGATTGTGGGGACAGCATTGTCATGCCTACAAGCCTGGCAAGGGGAGGAGGGGCACATGGAACTACAGACACCAGCATGCTAGCCTCTGACCAGAGAGCACCATTTGGATTTCTGTTCTGTCCTAAGAAAGTCTTTCTGTGAATTTGTCATCAAAGACATTTGCCCTACTGAGAGCATACAGGTCATCATTCAAACCAAGATACTTTTGAGAGCAAAAGGATAGTATGCACAAGTATACTGGAACAATGGACATAAAAAGGCACTATCCCAGGTAAATATGGATAGATGATCACCTAACTATAAACAACTCACCCTTCCTTCTTTTCATCTTCTCTTTCTTTCCTTCTGAAGGCTGTCAAAATCCTACTTTAAAAAAATGGATAGTTTGTCTGTTATCTAGATGTCTCCTGAGCCAGGCATGGTGGTGCATGCCTGTAATCCCAGCACTCGGGATGCTGAGGCAGGAGGATCACTGTGAGTTTGAGACCAGCCTGGGCTACAAAGTGAGCTCAAGGCCAGCCTGAACTGCATAGAGAGACCCTGTCTCAAAAAAAAAAGGACAAAAAAATAGATGTCCCTTGAAAACCTCATGTGGTCATAGGCAGAGCTTTTCAGAGGTGGCTGGATCTAGACTCCTGCATCGTATGCTCAGCCTGTCCTAATACAGTAGAGAGAGTACAAAGTACTTTTGTCTAATGATTTTATTGAAAATGAGAGTGACATTTGATAGAGAAAATAATTTGTTTCTGTTTACAAACTTCAGGAAGACCATTTAAATGTTTATGTAATTTACTATAACAAATCATGAACTTATTCTTCATTAGCAAACTATTATCATAGCTTTACATTATCCTAAATCAGAACAAACAATTAAGTATAAGGGTTATTCCCCAAATCAGTCAGATTTCATAAAGGATAACAGAGAATTCATCCACGAAGAATTGGAATTTAGTAATTTTGAAAGTTAGAGTTTTAATTTAGCTTTTGCATTACATTCAGTGATTTTTCATTATCTACACTTGTCATATTTATAAAAAATACAAATTCTGATTATTGGGGTGAAACTAAAACAAGAAAACCAGCTGCTAAAATAAGAGTCTGAGTGATCCATTTTAAATCTTTAGTTCTGAAGAATTAGCTGAAAAGCAGAGATGCCAGTACTGTAATTGACCAAGAAAGCAGGCATACAGACCAATCAACAAACCTCTGTTTGTTATCTCCTGCATGCCAGATACTGTGCTAGTCATTACAGATTCAAATGTGGAAGAGTAGAGGTGTTTCAGGAAATTGAATAATGTGGTTTGAGAAAACATTGCTCAAAACTCTAAATACAACATACCTGACAGTACCAGGTGAATTATCCTTTTAAATGTTTTTTAGTAGGATCTGGACAGCTTTCAGATGGAGAGAAAGAGGAGGTGAAGGGGAAGAAATATGGGATTGTTTCACCCAGGTAGGTGGAGGGGAGCAGTTGGCAGGGTAATTGTATCTCCACCTGCACAACGTTAGCTTCATCTTGGAAGGACTTGGGTTAAGCAAGTCACATGCTTTGAGACCAGGAGGACCTGTGTCTTACCATGTAACTTTATGGGTACCGTGGGCACTGTGTATGTAGTGTTACATTTATAAAGAGAAATACTAAACTTAAGTAACAATGAGATATTAAAACAACTTCTGATCTCACCTATTGGGTAGATGTTAAACTATTTCCTCCAAATAGGCATCATCCTTTGCATTATAGTATTTGTAAGTATTTAAAGAAACTCTCTATCAAAGCTATCTGGATGTGGTCAGCCTGTAGCACTGGAAGGTCTTCGGAGTGTGGGAAGGCAGATACATCAGTCTGTTGGAATGGAAGCTGATAGTTTATATTCTAGGCTAAGGGCACTCAGTTTGAAGATCTTGCTCTGTTTTTTTTTTTTTTTTTGTCTTTTTTGAGACAGGGTCTCACTGTGCAGTCAGGCTGGCCTTGAGCTCACTTTGTAGCCCAGGTTGGTCTCAAACTCGCAATGATTCTCCTGCCTCAGCCTCCTGAGTGCTGGGATGACAGGCGTGCGCCACTATGCCCGGCTTTGTTGTTTTGTTTTGTTTTTTTGAAATGAATTCTTTTTTTGTTGTTTTTTTCTGGTACTGGGAATCGAACTCACAACGTCACACTTGCCAGGCAGGCGCTGTGCCGCTGAGCTAAATCCCCAGCCCTTTGAAGATCTTGCTCTGGTCTTAGGTCAACAGCAGAAAGAGGTCATCTGTATGGCGTTATTCATGGCTCTGTCTGTAATCTTTACTCACCTTTGCTCCTGAAGAACAGCCATGGGGAGTTCTCCATCCCCAAGCAGAAGGTGTGGGTCTTTTTCTACCTCCAGCCCAACAGCTAGACTGTAGTGTGAGTCTGCTGACCTTGACCTGCCCAACATCAACTCCAGCACATAAATGCGGGGGCTTAAATGGTACAGAAAGAAAGAGAGAAAAGCCCTAAAAAGATCTCCTGGAAATTTGGTAAATTTTAACTGTAAAAGATTGCTCTAAGGTGCTATTGTACTGTATTTATTACTAACATTCTGTAATAAGTCTTGGATATCTGTTAGTGAAAAATATTTCCCTCCTGGTTTAATTTTTTCCAATTTTTTTCTAAATTATTTTTGGACTTTTAATACTTAAAAAATTTTAATGATGCATTTTATTTAATCCACTGTATACAAAATTCCTTCAACATAAAGTGTGACATACTGCACTTCAATTTTTTTTTAAAATGTTTTTTTGGTACCAGAAATCAAACTTACAACCTCACACTTGCCAGGCAGGTGCTGTGCCACTGGGCTAAAACCCTGGCCCCTTGCATTTTAATTTAGACCAAACATAACAAGTACTTAATGGCCCCTTGTGGCTGATGGCCCTGTACATATGACCATGTTTCTTTACTCTTGCAAATGATTTTTTTTTTTTTTTTGGATTAGGAATTGAACTGAGGGCCTCACACTTGCCAGGCAGGCGCTGTGCCACTGTGCCTTCTCCCTGGCCCACAAATGATTTTTTTTTTTTGGTTTTTCTCCGGTACCGGGAACCGAACTCACGACCTTGCGCTTGCCAGGCAGGCGCTTTTGCCGCTGAGCTAAATCCCCAGCCCCTGATTTTTTGAATTGCTTGTAAACTTTAGGAAACAGACAAACAAACAAACAAACAAAAATACTAGACTCTTGTCTCATTTGGATTGCATTTCTCTATCTCTCTTTTCTTTTTAATTTCATGGACAATTCATAGCTTTATAATATCATGACTGTACCATATCTCTGTTTATGTAGGTCCTTCTGTCTTTCAAAATATTTTATGGGATTCTACATGCAAGTCTTGCATATTTTGGGTCTCTCACACTTACTGCACTGTGACATGATGAGGGTGCTTAGCTATAAATATAAAGTTTTTGTGGATGATAAAACCAAACCCTGAGAACTAAGCCCCCTGCCCAAGGAACATGGCTAAGTGTTCAGCTGGACAAGCTCCAGAGCCGCTGTCAGGAGGGTCTCTCCTACCTGCTGCTCCTGCCCAAGAAGCTGCACAAGGCCAGAAAAGAGAAAGGTTTTCCTTGGTGGGCACACAGCAGGCTATGTGCTGGACCCTGGCTCATCCACCACTTCCTGTGTGGAAAGCAAGCCCCTGGCCCAGAGGCAGAACCTCTATCTCATTTTCTCTAGTTTCTCACACACTTCCCACCCGACCTATTTGGGGAGCCTGGGGTTTTCCCGAAGACTTGCTTTCCTGGGTGCCTCTCCCTCCCCAGGGCCACTCACACACTACTAGGTCCTCTGCATTCGCGGGGTTTCCAGCAAATGTCAGACCAGCCCTCCAGAGGTCAGCGCGTCCTTGAGGCGATAACATATGCCTATTACTAGTCTGGCAGATATGTTTAGTTTCTTAGTCTTTCGCCCAACTTTTGGAAAGAATGGAATTTTGAAATACTTTCTTGCACTTTTAGCATTCCTAGGCTGATCTACCCTGGGAATCGCAGTTTCCCCATCGCCTCGATTCCAGTAAACCGCCCTGGGATATCTTTTCCCCCTTCATACCCTCTTCCTTTCTGGTAATTCGAGCTTAGGTACAGACTGAGGAAATTAAAGTTAAAAATTTCCAAACACCCTGAGATCACGTTAAGAATTCAAAGGACAGGAGACACCTGCGCGAGGGGGAGCCCTTCCCTCTGTTCTTTTAGAAGTGCCAGTGTCCCAAAGTGACTGCAGGGCCCGGGGACAGGAAGCTCGCGCCAAACAGCTGGTCTCGGTGGGCGAGGTGCCTCCACCCCCGCCGGGGAGACCGCTAGGCCTTACAGGGAGTCGCTGGAGATGGGGGGCACCAAGCAGGTGCACGCGGAGGGAGTCGAGGTGAGGAGCAGGACACCGGGAGAGCAGGGACACTAGGCACGAGGGGGAGGGGATACCGGGAAGGAGGAGGGATAGGAGGGGCGGGGGCACCGGGCGGAGTCGAGGGCGGGGACACCGGGGTGAGTCACCGGCCCGCGCGGATCCGGCTCGCCCCAACTTCGGATCCGGCACCTGCGTGGACTTCGGCCTCGGAGACCCGGCCACGACGACATCCAGCCGGGGAATGCGCGCCCTACCGGCCCTGAGCGCGCCCCGGGACCCCGCGCGCCCGAGCGCCGTGGAGCGGCTGGCGGCCGACCGCGCCCGGTTCTCTCGTGGCCCGGTGGGCGGTGGGGTCCCCACTTCCAAGGACTGCGGCTCGGGGGACAATAGGAACCTTGCTTCGGAGCCCCGCAGCCCAGGCGCACCCGGCGGCGGGCAGCAGCCGAGTGCCCCGGGCCCCGCACTCCAGGTACCGGCTCCCGTGTCTCGCAGGGTTATCCCGCGCCGGCCGCTGAGGCCCGACTCGCTGGTCATCTACAGGCAGAAGTGCGACTTTGTCCGCAGCCCGGGCTCCGAGGGCTCCAGGGGCAGCCTGGTGAAGAAGCTCTTCCCGGGGCCGGGCAGGGACAGGACTCCCGAGACCCCGGGGACGCCGCGGCTGGAGCGCGCCGCGCGGACGAAGACCGACTCTGCGACCCCCGAGATCCCTCGGAGCTCTGGGACGGCCGCGATCCCCGCGACCCCTGGGAACTCCAGGACCCCAGGAACCCCTGCAGCCCCGGCTCAGCCTGCGCCCCCCGGGAGCTTCGCGCCCCCCGGGAACCGAGCCCGGACCTCATCCCCCAGGGCGGCTCGTCGCGCGGGACTGCAGCGCTCACATTCGGACCTCAGCCGGTGCAGCTGCGACCCCGGGGCCGAGCGCGACGCCTTCTTCCAGTTCTGCGGCCTGGACCCCGAGGTAGTGGAGGCGCTGGGCAGGGACAACTTCTCCGCGGGCTCGGACTGCACCGCCCTCAAGGTGCGCAGTGTGAGCGTGGCCACCTCGGAAGGCGGCTTCTCGCGCCACAGCGGAGGGGAAGACGACGGGCTGCAGGAGGAGGCACTCACAGAGCAAGTTCCCAGCACCACCTCGATCATCGAGAGGAACGCGCGCATCATTAAGTGGCTGTACACCTGCAGGAAGGCCAAGGGGACCCCGGGCCAGGGGCTGCAGGGACCCGCGTGACTGCTCTCCCTAGGGACCAGGAATCAAGGTGCGCGCTTGGAAATGCTGGAGGAGCGGGGTGCGCGTGCACATGGGCCAGAGATGGCAACCCAGCTGGGTGCGAGTTCCAGCTGTGCTTAGGGGTCAGCCCCTGCAGCTGGAAGGGACCCTAGAGATGGAGATGCAGAGGTTCCTATATAGTCACCGTAGCCAAAGCAGAAAGAGTTAGGGTTAGAGTTCTATTCAGTTGGCTGCATCTGCTGTCTGGAAGGGTCGCTGTCCCACTCAGCTTATTACCGTGAAAGGAAGAAATCAGAATTACGGATTCTGTCGGCCAGCAGCTTCACTCGCCGGCTGTTACCATTTCCTGCAATGGATGTGGTCCAAGACCCCAGAGCCCAGGGCTCCTGTGCAGTGGGCCCAGCTTGCTGTGGACCCACCTGAGGTCCATGTGCCCTGCATCCGCAGGTGGGCACTGCTGTCTCACCTGAGGCACAAAGACAGCTGCATGCACTTTCCCAGAGGCCTTTAATGTGGGAGAATTTCCATGGGAACTCGCCAGCAGTTTGGTATTCATTTAGCAAGAAAAGATCTTTATTTGGGTGAATTTTATTTAAATTGATTTGAAGGCTTCGATTTTTTTGAACTGGGTGAGTTGGACCCGGCTCTAGTCCAGCACTGCACAGATTCTATAGTTTAGTGATAACAGGACAGGCAGGGGCACAGGATCGAGCTCCTGCTCTTCTCCCAGGTGAGCTGATGCTTTCTCAGGGAAGCTGAGGCATGTGCATTCCCTGCTCCCTGCGGCGAGTTCCCATGCGGCAGTACAGAGCAGAAGTAAATTACCCCATCTCTACGGTCCCCTAGGGAGTACAGTAGCATTCAGGGTTTTCCTTGAGGACAAGTATTTAAACATTGCAATATCAGTAAATTTTTTAAAAGTCATGATTTTGTCTGCCATTGAGGTGCTAATCGAAGGTGCAGCATTGTCAGGGATAGAGCTGGGTGGGGGCCACCATAGACAGCTTGTGCTCATCTCAGCTGTGTTGAAGGACAGAAAAAAGCCCCTAGAACTTCTCTGAGTGGCCTCAGTACAGATGTGAAATAGCAAGAAGGGACTTCTCATTTTTCTGGAAACAGGAGGCTCATGCCTGAGGGTCTTCCTTATAATTTATGAAAATGTTTGCATCTTATACTAGTTTAACTCCCTAAACAATGTAGGTAAGCAGTCAAATTTTTAAAAAAAATTTTAAAAAAATTTTTGTATTTTTTTTACAAATCGTCTCCTGGGTCTGAGATGAGCTCATGCTAATGAGGGCACCTATGCACCACTGTGGTGCCAGGGGACAAGGTCTGGTGTGAAGAGAGTGGCACTGACTTGGGACTTCTTCTGTGTCCTGTCGTGCCTGGTCATGATGCAGGCCTGCTTGTCCATACAGTGGAGGTAGCCCGACGGTGTCCAGCCTCTTTATTTTATTTATTTTGTGTGCAATGTGCAATGAACAATCTGTAAATCTGTCTTTGGAGTTTGGAAACTAGAAAAGGAAGACAAGAACCCATTGCCTACTGGGCTGTTGAAAACTGAATAAGGTCTGTTCAAGTAGACAATAGGTAGACTTGGGGGTATAAATAGTGGTGAGGTAACAAGATAGCACACTTAAACTTAAATAAAAATGACAACATAAAAATAAAAACCAGCTCCCTCTGATCCCTTCAGACCCCATCTCCAGCGCTCCAGGGTCACATCCTAAACTGGAAGGGATTTGAGGTTAGGGTGCAGAGTGGCCTGCCAGCCAGCCCTTCTCAGTTTGAACGTATGAAATACATGAGAAGTCTGGTTAGGCTGAGAACTTCCACCTGTGACAAAGAGAAGAGTATTGAAGCAAAAAGGAAAGTGAGGGTTGTGTTGGAAAATCCCCAGGGTGAAACAACACAGGACCAAGTGCAGTGGGCCCCATTGCTCCCCACCCAACCTTCTCCTCATCTTCACCCTGTTTGCTGCACCCAGGGGACATGTCATTTGCCTTCTGTTTGGTATTGTTGCTCAGAGCAGGTCACCTGTGGCCTGCCCTGGCTCTTCTATGGGGTTGACTCTCACCATCATTGCATTTCCTTTGCAAACTTGCTCCCTGAGACTCACAAGGCAGGATACGCTCACTGAAACTGCAGTGTTCGCAGAGGACTACAAGAAGGGAATAGGTGGTCTTGTGTTGTACAGATCATGGGTTTGGTGTCCACCCAGGACTCAGGGACTCCAAACACTACTTTCCTCTAAGAAGGTCCAGTAGGGGACCGGACCCCAGGCCACAGCCAGAATGTCACACATGCCATATGCCGGTCATGCTTTCCTGATACCAGATCTGAGTCTCTGCCATGTGAAGCAAGAACTCATGCTCTGCTCTTTCTATAGATTACCATTGTGTTGGATTCCTTAAAGATTCATTTTGGGATTTTATGAAAAATTAAGAAAATTTGAGATGAATAAAGGTAGGCTTTATAAGTAAAGGAATTCAGGTATATTTTATATGGAGGTTTTGCTTACTAGACAGAGATTTGTAAATTACTCCATCCAGAACTAAATTACAAGTTTCTAAGTTTGCTACCCTATGAGGTAAAAATGTTTGTCACAAGTGAAAATATCAGAACGGAAAAATATCTCTGTGCATCCCCTGGGACCGTGAGTAGGGTATGGTTACATAGGGAATTTGTATATTCCCTTTCTCCTTGTTTAATTCAGAAAAATTGTTCCTCCGTTTTCTGGTTCTTGGTCATCTTCCTGTTCTTTAATTCATCAAACTGAATACTTGCCAAAAGATAGGTTTTTCTGGCTTTTGTATAGACTATATAAATTGCTGGTTTTAATACAGGTATAAAAGACCAGTGATTTGTCCTGTGGGAGAATTAGGAATAAACATTGTTAAATTTCAGATCAAAAATTTCAGCTCTTTACAGCCTCCTCCACATTTCTCTGTGGTCAAGATGGGGGTTCGCTTAGAAGTCTCTGACAGCATGTGGGACAGACTGCACCTCACACTTGTTAGACACCATTGGTATGGGATATGTGGATGAAGAGATCCATGCCATGTAGGACACATGGATGGGGCACCCTGCTATTAGGCTGGGGACATCCTGCTTCTATGCTCTTTCCTCTTCACCCACTCTGAGAAGTGGCAGTTGCCATGAGGAACACAGCCTGGGTGGATACCTGTGTGGCTGAGGGCTATGACCTTCCCTGTCTTTTGGCCAACACCTGGGCCTTTTACAGACACTGGTGTTTGAAAAGGGTGGAATCTATTTACTTACAAATATTTAATTGGACTTCCTTCCTTGATTTCTGTTTTGTTGTCCAGGCCCTTGGCAGTTAACACTTGCCTTGTCAACATTCAAAGGAGCAGAGGGAGGCAAAGAGAAATTTCAGAATCAGAAGAATGCTCTTAGGGAGACTTGCTGTGTCAGAGGAGCCAGAGGACAGCTCCCTTTAATAAAGCTTCTCAACATTTAAAAAGCAAAGGAAGTATTTTAGAATGCAGGACTGTCACAAAACCAAAGACTCCAGGGGTGGGGTTTGTATATTAATGTTTTGTAGCAGACAAGGTCAAATCACATTTTTTCTTTACCCCTCAGAAAGCAAATGTCCCCAGCTATCAGGGGACCATGATGCCATGGGAGACAGGGGACGCCAAGGCCATTTCTGCAGTGAACCTCCGAGACACAGGACTGCTACTTTTCCAGTAATGAAGCATCCTACCGACTGAGCTTCCGTGATCTGAGAAGGGCTGAAGTGCTGTAGAGAAGGTAGGAAGACAGACCTCGGAAACTGGATGAGTTAGGGCTGGCTGCAGAAGTGCGGAAGGAAGTTCTCAGTGCCACTGTCCTATTCACATGGGTCAGCTGGAGAAGAGAGAGTTGCCGAGAAATATTTTCTGGGGCACCTTTTGGACTGATTTGCTAACCAAAAGATGCTGTGATGCATTTGGACAGTCCCTGAATTGATTTTTAAAAAGGAAAAAGCATGAAAATCAAGCCTGAGTGCCATCGTATTTGCTCCTTCTGACTGATCTGCACCACATAGCTCAAGGTTCTGTAATCACAAGAAGGTATTCTACTTAAAAACTGTAGCTAACGAAGAGTGTACACACACACACACACACACACACACACACACACGCACACACACGCACACAGCCATACACAGAAAACAATTTCCAGCGCATCTCTGCTCTGTGAACCACGCTTATTTCCTGAAGAGTGCAACCAGTTGTCTTATTTAACGAGTCAGGAAGCACATTTAAAATCAAGAGAAGGCTGAGAGTTGTTCTGTGAATGTCACTCCTGGGTGGCTGGAGGTATGTGGAAGAACCCACTAACACAAGAGTGAGAACTGATCTCTTGCCAAACAGAACCCTTCATCATACTTGGGCAGTTTCTTGAGAGGTGAAGATGAAACTTGGGGTCCTTTGGTCAGGTCCTTTGCAGCCTCTCCAGTTAGAATGGGCTCCTCAGTGATTTCTCACAGCTTGCAAAGAGGACAAAAACCTGGCTCACACGGGGGTGGTGCCTGCACCAGGAGCACTTCCTTGACTTGGAATCCAGTCCCACCCACACCCCATGCACTCACATAGATCTGGCACCCATTTGCTCTTCCCTGCCAATGGTGTGTTTTGCAGCAAGGGTCCTCTGACTCTGAACTTGCTCGTGCTTGGGGTGAAGGGATTTCACACTCAGAACCTTCAGAGAGAATATGCATCCAAGATAATGTAAAAAGATTGTCATTGTCCCAACTCTTTCAAAGCTTACTCTGTTTAATCAAAATAATCTCTTCTTTTTTTTTTTTGTCTTTTTGAGACAGGATCTTGCTGTGCAGTTCAGGCTGGCCTTGAGCTTACTTTGTAGCTCAGGCTGGCCTCGAACTCACAATGATCCTCCTGCCTCAGCCTCCTGAGTGCTAGGATTACAGGCATGTGCCACTGCGCCGGGCAAAATAATCTCTTCTAGCACACAAGTATTTGAGAGAAGAATATGGGAAGAAGTTAATTTCTCAATGGTAGCATATTTTATAAACTACTCCATGTAATATATTCATATATTTGTTTAAAAGTGTGGTCTGTATAACATTTATAGTGCAGATAATTCTTTGAGATACATAAATATTTATTTTTACATTTGATAGTTTTCCTTTGCTTCACATGGCTTTGGTGTATCAGTTCAGATTTAAATCTTTTTTCTCCTTTGTTGTCTTTTTGTGTATATTGTTTACTTAAACTTTCATCCTTTAACTGAAAGTGGAGTGCTGGCTTCCCTATCAAGTGCTCCGTATGGCAGTGATTTGTTTTCCACTGAAATCAGAAGAAAGCGTGAGGGGTTAAGTGGCTGTCAGATGTTTGAACAACAGGTGATCTGACTGAGGAAGCTGTCCCTACAGATGCTCTTCAAATGCTGCTATTTTGCTGTTCCCTGTATCACAGTTTAAAAAGAAACCAACAATGAGAGGAGTTTCCAAAGCATCATGCACCCAATTCTTCCTTTCAGATGTTCCATTTATCTTCTATGTGAATGTGTAAGTGAAACCCTTTCTGCCTTTTCACCCTTAGAACAGGGTGTACTGCAGCCTGGGTCAGACTCATCATTCCTGTAATAGACAGAAAATATAAAAAGCAAACTGGTTTTGGTTGGTGTCACCAGATCTTTCAGAATCATTTGCCCTCAGTGGTGGCCTGGGGAAGCGGTCATATTCATTTGGAATGTATTGTGGAAGTAGATGTCAGAGGTGGGCATGAGGACAAGGTACCAGGGTGCGTCTGAGCAGATGCATCATGTAACCTCCTTACCTTCAGATTCATGCCTCAAACCTGTGTCTTCAGTTAGGACTGTGATGCCTTTCCCAACCTTGAATTACCTCAGTGTGCTGAGTGACATAAAGAAAAAACCAAATGTGACTCCGTCTCCACACAAAGCTTATTTTCCACAAGAATGAGCAATCATTACCCGCTGAAAAATGCTTTCACTTGTTCATGGAAGAGTAGCATGTGAAAATATGATTAAATACAGTGGAATGAAAACAAATGACTGCAAAGCAAGAAAAATAGCTTGACAGTGGTGTTTCTCACTTGCTTGTGGCTGCAGGTGAGCAGTGCCTGACTAAAAGGCATTCGTGTCTGGAGAGATCCTCATTCTGTGAGTATTTGCACACATGGTGCTGAGTGTGTGGGCCCTTAGTGCTGGAGGAAGCGGGAGGCTTTCTTGGACTCTGCCCTTTGCAGTGGTTCAGAGTCCATTGCTATATTATGGCTGGTGGTGCCATAAAGCACCAGAACGGACTGTCATTAAAGGCAGTTTCTAAGTAAGGATTTTTGTGTACGCTACTTGCAACTGGTGTGCAATAATTTTTATACATTGTATTAAAGAAATAAAATACTTATATCATTTGATTTGTGTGTTTGAACACGGTGAAACAATCGAAGTGAGAGCATGCTCACACTAATCCCTCCTGTCTTATATTTCCTCCGTTTCTTTTCAAATGTCACCTCTGTAGATCATCTGTGGAAAGGAGGGAAGCATTCCAATATTTGGTTGAGGCCAGCTGCACAAGGCCTAAGCTTCCAGCTCCCCTGGAGATGGGCTGCAGTAAAAACAGTTTTGAATACTTAGCACTTTGTTTTTCTTAATTTGTTTCCTCAGTCTTTTGCTTAAAAAACGAGTTTTCTTCGGTTTTGCTGATATCATTGGACAATGGGCACCGAGATAAAAGCACAGTTTGCACCTTTCTTTTTAGTTCACGCAGGGAAGGCAAACTCTGCCAACCTCACTTTGTGTGGGGTGTCTGCCAGCTCAGCTGGGTGTGTGTGGGCTGGCTATTGAGAAGGGGCAACAAGGAAGCCTGGCCTTCTGTCTCACTCCACCCATCAAGCCAGGATGGTTTCATTTTCAGTCTTGCGGGGAGTGGTGTATGCCTGAACTTCAAAGGTGTCGGTAGGCATTCCGGAAAATAAGTGCATCACCTCTCTGCTTCAATGAAGAATGCGGACAAATCCCACTGGAATCACGCAGAGACAGCCCACACATCACTGGGTGCAGGGCTTGCTGTGATCTAAAAGCAGCTGCTGTTTCTCCTTCAGGTATTCAGGACTTACCTTTCAGTTACTCTTTTGAAAATTCAGTAGCCCAGGGAGTCATGAAATTAAATATAACAGATGTTTAAACGTGCATGTTCATGGATGAATTAAATATATTTATATAATATTTGAATGTCCCAGGTTGGAAATATTGAACAAGAAGGAATGTCTTCCTGGGAGCTCATAGCCATGGTCTTGGAAGTGGCAGGGAATGGCTAATGAGGAGAAAAAACCTGAAGTGCCCCGAAGTGTGCTCCTCCTTACCCTGTCTTCCTCAGTACCTCTGCTCTGTGTCTCATGTTCTGCAAATTCTGTCGCCTTTGGGGTAGCTCCTTGAACATGCCACTAAAATTGGAATGATTTCTGAAAGGAACAATGTATTAAAGCACTACAATTATTCACTTTTAGAAAATAGAATATTAATTTCTTGGGGGAATTGAAAATATGTTTTGTTTATTATTTGAGACAGGGTCTCGCTGTATAGTTCAGGCTGGCCTCAAACTCACTATGTATGTAGTCCAAGCTGACCTTGAACTCTAAGTGATCCTCCTGTGTCAAGCTCCCAAGACCCGGGACTGCAGGGATGGGCCACCACACCAGGCTGAAAACTGAGTTTTGCATAGCAAAACCAGTTAAGACCAAAGTCCAAAGACACAGTGGGAAATTATTTATCTGTAACACAGAAATGACAAATGTTCTAATGCATCCATAACGCTCCTAAGAAAATAGAAATCAGGGCCTAGAAAAGGACCACTCCACTGGACCAAGGGACCTTAGACTCCCTAGCATGTCTCATAAGTGTATTATAAAAAACGATTGGATGGCGGTCTCTCAGTCCTGGGTAATAAATCTTCAAGTACTGGCTGATGACCCTGTTTATTGTAGTCCTGGGCTACACTAAGGATTCTGGATACTGTAGTCCTGGCCCAGAGGAGCGGGGGAGCGTCACGCCAAAGGTTTTGGGTACTGTAGTCTTATGGAGGTATGCTGAGGACTCACGATATTGTATTCCATTTGAGGGGACTGAAAACAAGTCCTGGGCGTATTTCACTTAGGAATCTGGGTACATTAGTTCATAAGAGAGCCTGCGGAGGATTCAAGTTAGCTTTCTCCTTGAAGGGGCCTGCCCAACTTATGGTTAGGCTGAGGCTTCTGGGTATTGCAGTACTTGTAAGAGTTACACTTTAGTTTGTGGGTAGCGGAGTCCTTCGAGCTCAGTCCTTGCAGAGCACCCAGAGGGTTCTGGATCCGGTAATTGAGGGGGAGGCGGAGGCTTCTGGGTACTGTAGTCCTTTGGCCATGGGGAACCTTCTGGTCCTCTTGGGAAGAGGTGGGGACACATGAATACTTAGGTCTACTGTAGGACAGGTGAGCGGATGCTGAGACTTTTGGGTGTCTTCGTCCTTGAGGTGAGGGCACAGGTAGCCTTCCTGGTTCCATAGTCTTGGGGGAAGGTATGCCCGGCGGAGGATACTGTAAACAATGATGGGGAACGTGCAGAAGTTTCTGCATAACTGAGTTCTGTGGTTGAGGCACGCAGAGTATTCTGGGTACTGTAGTCTGTGAGGGAGCACCACAAGGAGGATTCTGGGTACTGCGCTGGGGGAGGCTGGGGTGGACCAAGGCAGCTGGGTATCGCAGTCCTGTGGTTGGGCATGCAAACTCTTCAGGGTAATGTCGGCTGCAGGGTCGGGGGGGGGGTCGGGGAAATCACGCCAAAGATTCTGGGTAGTGTAGTGCTGCATTTGAGTCTCTATTCCCAGAGACTTTTGGGTACTGTAGTCCTGGGTGTGGGCTGTCAGGCCCTAGAATTCTGGGTACTGTAGTTGAAGGTGCACACCAAGTCTGGGTTTGGTTGCCCCGTGGAAGATTCTACGGCCTCTGGCGGCAATGCAAGGTAGTTAGCAGCTGTTGTCACCAACCTCGGGTCAGTTGTCCTGGTGAATTGGATTCCTGCGGCCCTTCTGTCCGGTGAGAAAGAGGGCTGAGAGGACCAGACTGACTGGGCTGGGGTGCTGGGGCATGGGCTGCTGGCTTCTAGTTGCCTGGCTGCCTGCCCCTAGCTAGGTGAAGACTGCAGCACCCTGGATGCACACTGGATGCTAAGCCAAGACTCCAGGGCCATCGTGCCCGCTTGGTCTCTGTGTCCGAAGGTGGATGGGAAAGGCTGGAGCAGCTCGTGCCCAGCACCCTACAGAATCCCAGTGTACTCTCCGATTCTCAAGGTGGTGTCACTGCCCCTGGGGTTAGGTCAGGCCAGCAGTGACTGTTGGGGTGGTGGGCAGGCTGTCAAGGTGCCCAGGGTCTGCAGTGAATGCCTAAGTGTGAGCAGGAGGTGAGTGTGTCCCTGAGGTTCTGGCCCTGGACAGAATCCAGATCCCTTGTAATGCCGGTGCTCTGACCATGGTGGCTAGGTGGAGGGCCCAGCATTGTTACAGGTTCATTCTGCTTTGATTCAAAATCATCAAGTATTGGGGCTGGGGATTTAGCTCAGTGGCAAAGCGCCTGCCTGGCAAGTGGAAGGTCGTGAGTTCGATTCCTGGTACCTGAAGAAAAACGAAAAAGAAAAAAAACACCAAAAAACCCCCAAAATCATCAAGTATTACACTGTCTAAATCTGTATTGTTTCTAAGTTTGTGTATATCAAATGTGCTACTCACTTCAAAATTCTACTGGTAGGTTAAAGTGAATTACTGATGGAGTGAGGCTGGTTCTGCACTTGATACCTTGGGAAACAAACTGCAGTCTAATTTCATATTTAAAATAAGTGAAAACCAATTTAGGTCTAACTTCAGTGACAGGTAGCTGAGTCTCAGTTCATTGCAGGAGCTGTGGCGGTCAGGTGCAGAGTATGCTAGAAGCTGTGTTTGTGCCTCAGTTTACCTCACAAGTGCTGCCACACCCTCCCTTCATGCCCTGACTCTTTGAACCTGCTCTGACTGAGGACTGCCAGGTAGGGGAATCCTTTCTTGTCCTTGCTCAAATAAACTGCTAAATTTAGTTCAGGCTAGTTTTGAACTCACTGTGTAGCCCAAGCTGGCTTTGAACTCATGGCAATCCTCTTGCCTTAGCCTCCCAAGGCATACACATCCTTTTATGCAAAATGCATTTTAGTCCATCTTTAAGAGTTGCCAAAGTCCTAACAGCTTCAGCATTGCTGAAAAGTCCAAGTCTCAAGTCTCTTCTGAGATAGAAGGGAAATTCCTAGCTGTTAAGTCCCTGTACAAATGAAAGGAAAGTTAAACACTTTGAACATTCAATGGCACAAAATAGACATTTCCATTCCAAAGGTTAGAAACAGTGGGATACAAAGTTTGGGACCAAAGCAATCCAACATCTGGCAGGACAGATATTAAGTCCTGATGTTACACTTGGAATATCTGAAGCAATCTGTGGCAAATTGTGAGCCCCAAGGGGTTTGCATGACTCTGCCCCTACAGCACTTCCAGTGGTTGTAGCTCCCATGGCTTCTCTCTTAGGCCTGCTTTGCTCCCTCCTTGTAACATTCTTTAGATGACCCAAGTTCCTGGCTTCTTCAAACTTCAGGGGTCTCCACTGCACCTTTGGTTTCTCATTCACAGCTTCACATGTTGCCCTCTCAGGGGCACACTGCCTGGCCTCCCAGGCCATCTTCTGAAATCTGGGTGAAAGCTTTTTAACCTCAGAGTTCTTGCATCCTGCATGCATCTAAAACCAGTGCCATGTGGATGTTGCCATGGTCTGCTACCAGCTGGAGCAGTAGCTAGGCTTTCTTCTTTCTTGGCTGTAGGATTGCTGAGCACTCTGAACCTGATTCTGAGGAACAAATTCTCTGTGCCGCTGCCATTCTGGAACCTGGGGCAGCTGCTGCTGCCATTCTGGAACCTTGTGTGGTGGCCTTGCCATTCTGGAACATGGTTCTCTGAGGCTTTCTCCTCAAAGCAAAGTCTTTCATTTTTGCATTTTTAAGGCTGCAAAGGGTGGAGACTTGCTCCTTCTTGTGATGCTCTCAGACCATCTTTTCTATTCTGTTCCTTCTCAGCAGTGGACATTTTCTTAGTTCTATCTTTGCAGTTCACAGCTTTACTGGAGTTTCCTTTCTGGCCAAACTCACAATATTTTAAATCATTCTGTTGAGCTCTTTGCTTTTGAGTTTCAACATAAATCTGGCTAAAAGCTTCCAACAATAGCCATGCTACTACCTCAACGTTAGACTGCCTGAAATTTCTTTTGCCGGATTAATTAGTTCACCACCAATAATCTCAGTCTCAGGCAATGTCTCTGGACACAAGCAAAATGCAGGAAAACTTTCTGCCAAGCCTTAACACACATCATCTGGAGTCTAACAACCAATGCAGTGCTTCCCAGTAAAGACCTCCTGAACTTGGTCTTTGCCAGCAGGATCTCTATCAGCCTTCTAGTCTTCTGAGCTCTGACCAGAACCCCCCATACAGAACATCCTAAGCATTCCAGCTGTACTGTTTCAGGTGACACCTCCAAACCTTTGCAATCTCTTCCCACAAGTCATTCCCAAAGACTCTTGAAGCACATGGTCAGGTACAGTCATAGCAATGATCCCAGTTCTCTGGTACCAAATTCTGTCTTAGATACTTTTCTCTTATTGCTGAGACAAAATACCTGATACCCAGAATTAAGGAAGGAAAGGTTTATTTTGCTTACAGTTTGTGGAGGTTTCAGTCCATACTTGGCTGGATCCAAGGCAGAGTGGCATATGGCAGGGGGCAACAGTTCATGGCAGTGGAAAACAGCAAAAGCAGCAAGAGCAAAAAGAGAGAGTGTTGTGGTTGATACATTGTGTCAACTTGAGGAGTCTAGAAGCTTAACTAAGTAACTCAGCAATTCTACCTCCTGGGGTGAAAAGGACATACCTTTCCTCCTCTGGGATGTTGTTCATAGTATCAATGTGAGAAGTTTAGAAGGTTAAAGGAGTGACTGAGCAGGGGGCCAGGGTCCTTACTTTGTATACGTCCTGAGCCTGTTCAAGAGGAGGGCATGGAGATTATGTGAGTGCTACACGCCCCCTTGGTGGGGGTAGCCTGTTTACAATATAAGGGAGGAAAAGAGGCTTGTTGCTTCTCCTCTACCCCCCGCTTTGCTCTTGTTGCTTTTGCTATCTTTGCTGCCATGAACAGTTGCCCTCTGCCATGTGCCACTCTCCTCGGAACCAGCCAAATATGGACTGAAACCTCCACAAACTGTAAGCTAAATAAACCTTTCCTTCCTTAATTTTGGGTGTTGAGCATTTTGTCTCAGCAATGAGAGAAAAGTAACCAAGACAGAGGAGCAGCAGAGAGCAAGCCTCTTTCCCTCCATTATATTATATGCAGGCTACCCCCACCCCCGCAAGGGTGGGTGTAGCGTGTAGCACTCACACCCATAATCCCAGCATTGGACCATGAATCAATCATAAACTCCAGAAGCCTGTCTCATGACTGCATGAGGCCAAGGGTGGGCATCTAGGCACAAACCATAACATTCTTGTATGCTTTTTCAGTCTACCTAGAATGTACCTTTGAAAGTTTGTGATGCAAAATCAGATTCACTTGACATATAAGATGAACAATTTACCACTATAAAGAATGATAAATCACATCTTACTTTTGATTAGTAGTGCCAACTTTATTAAATCTCAGTTTCTTTAAAGCAAAAGTACTTCTTGATATTTCTTATAAATTTAGTGTATTTGTGTGTTGCCTGATTTTGAGGCTTCAAGGACTGCTATTGTATAGCATGTTCCAAACAATGGGATAGGATATGTCTCTTTGCATTTTAAATTTGAGATTTGCAAGTCATAGCACTCATTTGTTTTTCAGAAGGATTTCTAGTGAATGTTTGTTAAATTTATATGTCTTTTATTGGTTTTATAAATATTAAACAATTTTACAAATTCATAGCATATTGCATCATCAAGTGTAAGTCTATACATTATTCTGACTTTCAGGTCATCTCCAATTTTATTTGTATGTATTATTTTTTTATTTGGAGATGTTGCAGATTTTTAAACAGTTTGTTGATATAATTTGCAATTATTTTTAAAGTTGATTATACAAATGCTTGTGGTGTATGAGATCATTTCTGGATGTCAGTAATGTCCTTACTTGACAGTGTTATGGGAGGAGGCATTCTCTTAAAGGGAGAGGAACTTCTAGGATGCTTAGGATTTAATATAGAGCAGAAGTAGTTTTTAAAAGATGAACAAAACATATAGATCATTAGGAATAGAACACTTAGGGCTTATACTAAGCTGGAATGGTGAAGAACAAGTGCATAGGAAAAATGGATGACTTATATTTGATTTTTTGGTAAATATTGTCATTTAGAATGAGTTTTTGACATCTTTGTTTTATCATGACAAAATTATTTTATTGCTTTAAATCCATGTTCAGCATGAGTTACTTTTGCGTCTGACAAGCTGCAGTGTTAGGAAGCAGGCGTCTCACGTACAGATTATTTTGTAGGTTTGTTCTTTCTGAGGATGTGACTTTGATTGCCAAAAGGCTTTTACTGGAAAATGTTTTCACCTGCAAAGATTTGATGGAATCCAAAGTAATTACTACATATGAAGAATACCTGTGAAGGGCATGCTTTGCAAAAGAGACTTACGTAGTTCTTGTGAGCATGAATTGTGCCGTGTCCCCTTGATGAGTAAGAACCTCTTAGCCCATTTATAAAGCTTCGTGTTTCTCTGCAGAAGACTGGCTTTTAGGGCACAAATGAAGATGGGAAGACCCACCCTGTATGCATTTGACAACAACCAATCAGCTTGTACTCTAGGTGGAATAAAAAATGAAAAAGGAGTCGCCCCTTCTTTCTGTGGAGAAGCTCTGGTATTTGTCATTGGGTTTGGATGTTGGTCTCATGTTACTTCAGGCTTCCAACATCAACTCTTCAGCCCCACAATAGAGATTCTTCAGCAGAGAAAGAGATTGAGGAAAGGGGCTGTCTTAGTTACTTTGCTCATTACTGATGCAAAATACCTGACATCCAAATTTAAAGGAGGAAAGGTTTATTTAGCTCGCAGTTTGTAGAGATTTCACTTCATAGTCTGCTGACTGTAAGGGAGGATGGCATGGCACATGGGCATCGCAGATGAGAAATGGTCCAGGCAAGGTAGGCAGAATGCAGTGAAGCAGCAGCAACAGCAAATGATGTAGAGGACAAAAGGAGAGCAGCCCTCTTTCTGTCCCTTATAATTCCACCCAGGCTACCCACCCTTAGGTTGGGTAGCACTAACACTCAGGGCAGGGCATCCTTAATCCCAGCATCACACTCTGGATTGAGCCACCTCTAAAAATCCACACCTGTGACTGCACAAGGCTTTGCAGGAATATCTAGATGTAAGCTATAATAAGGGTGGTAAACCATAGGTCATGCTTCCTTGCCTCGATTGACGTATTCCAACATGTGCTTTACTAATATCCTGGGCATCTCCCAAACCAAAAAACTTGACAGTGGAAGTTTAACCATCACATGACACAAGGTGAGAACATTACTTTGGTGAAATTAATATGCCAAAGGAGAAAAATTTTCAACCTGTGAGGAGGAAAGAAGATATTATGGAAAGTTTACCCTCATAGCTGTCTCTGCCTCATCACAGGGAAGTGACTGGGGTGGGGGTGGGGTGACATTGCAGCTATCCTTCTGGCCCTCATGCTATGATTAATTTTCAGAATTCTTGATTTCTTTGTGACCTCAGATAAAATAAATTGCCCATATGAGCTGTGTGAAAATTTGAATTTCATCTTACATACTTTGCATAATAGTACTAATAAATTATACCAGTTTCTTCATTTATTAAACAATTGTATCCCTATTGACATGCTTTTATTTTCCTTTCTGAAAATGATTAGATGAAAAGATGATGGGTGAGAAAGTCTGTGCCCTGATGTTAAATTCTGTGAGGTGACAGGTCCTGAAAATGAGGGGCAGTGGATGAAAAGAAAACAAGAGACAAAGTTATGTGATGAGGAGGGCACAGTCTCTGGGACTGAAGCCCCAACTGAACTTTCCCCAGGCTTTTAAGATTCTCTAGGCCTGGGGAAATAGCTCAGTGGCACAGCACCTGCCTGGCAAGCACAAGGTCGTGAGTTCGATTCCCAGTACCCGCCCCCCCCCAAAAAAAATTCTCTAACATAAAACAGGAATAAAGAAACGGAAGGAGTGATTAAGAAGATTAGTGAGGACATTATTGTTTAACTATCCCAGGGATTCTACTTTGACCTTCCTGGCCTTCACTGTTCCTTCAGACATATCCTAACAAAAATCTCATGCTGTTCCAGCAGCATTCCATTGGGACTAAGGTTCTGTTTTCATTTCCTTTTACACTATGCTTTTGCAAAGTTTCCTCCAGAACAAATAATCATATGGCCTAGCAGAGATCGAAGTCCCTGGAGTTAGAAGTTATACATTGTAAAGTAAACTGTTCAATGCCCTTCTTCACATCATGGAGCTGCAAGTCTCATGTAGCTTTCTGCCCTCTGACTTCCTGGGTGCTTCCTTGTACTCATCCATGTTCTGCCATTGCCTGGACCCAGATTCTTCATTCGGTTTGGTGATTTTCTCTGTGTCATGGAGTCTGTAAGTGCAGTGGCACAGCTATTATCCCATCATCAGGGACAACAAATAGAAAGAGCCCACAGAGCACAGTGAGGAGACACAGCAGCTCTGCAAATCTTGGAGCAAATCCTGTTTCAAATCAATGATCCAACAGCCTGGGTCAGGTCAGTATTCTGGGAGGAAGCCTGGGCAGAAAAGGGTTTTGTTTAGAGTCTGTCATTTGGGGTCCACTCAAGCAGACAGTGTATTGTCTTTGTTCTCCCTCTGGCTCAGTGGACAGCACACGGGGCAGCCTTGCATCCATGAAGAAGAGTTTGGGTTGCATGAACAGTCAAATCGTACATGCTGGCCAGAGAATAGAATCCTCCTTTGTCAGGCATCTAAGTCAGAAGCTTCCCATGTGTTATTGAGAGACTCCCACGCTGGCCCAGCCTGACTTAATGCCCTGGCTTCTACTAACTGGTTGCCTAGGAAGGACCTGGGAGACGTCACTCCTCAGGAACGTGATTGTACAGCACCAAATGAGCAAAGACGAAGGAGAATTTTGTCGCAGGCATAATTTCTAATTGGAAGTGAACAGAACTAGATATGGCAGGATTTGGAGCTCCCTCTATCAGTTAAGAAATCTTTGTTCCTATATGTTATCTGTCAGCGGTGCACATTTGGTCCTTTCTGGCTCTCTGGGTTGGGCGGAGGCGTCTGTCAGGAACTAAGCATCCTGTCCTAGATAAGGGAGATGACTCCACCATGGCCAGAGCCCTGACTTTCCCAGCTCAGTGCCTGCAGCCCCACTTCAAACCATGCTGTGCAGCGAGCAGGAGGGTTGAGGGGAGACTCCTGACTTGTGTGAGGTTTCCATGTGGGTGAACCTGGGCTGTGCTTTGTGTTATTTTTTTCTTCCACCAACACACCAAGTATTATAGTTCATATCTATAATTTCCACTAAATGTGTCTTAAGTGTGAAATTTGAAGGGTTTCTGTGGGCCCTGTCTCTCAGTGGATGCATTCACTGATGAATTTACTATCAGAATGTGCGATTAGGAGGTGGGGATTTTTGGAGGCGGGTATAGGGTCATGGCCTGTGTCTGTCCTTCTTCTGGCTGCTATGGTTTGTGTACTTTCTGCTCTACTCTGCCTTCCAGTCTCTACCCTGGAACTAAGAGAACGTGAACTGAAACTGTGAGTGAACATAAACCCTACTCCATTAAGTTGAGGTGGTTGGACTTTTTGTCCCTGTGTTCAAAAGGTGTCTAAGACACCTCATTATGCTAAATTAGTTTAAATATGAGATCTCAGACACACAAGTTGTATGCTCTATACCAGGCTTCATTGTCATAACAGTAAATTGCTAAATTACAAAACAGGTCACCTCAATTCCAAAGTCATAAGTTGTTTACAAATCACATAAAAATAGGAAAAAATGCTTAACATTGCCTGTGATGAAAATCAGTGTCAGAGCACTTGCCAAGCAGTGTTGAAAGCAGCGCAATAAATGAAGAAACTGATCAATAAATAAGCTTTTGTATTCTATAATGCCAATAAATTAGATGATGTTACCAATTTAAATGAAGATTAAAGTAATGCTGTGAAGGACAGCTTCCAGAAGGGGCTGCTTATTAAACCCACACTTTCAGACTTCTTGACTTAGGGCACTCACAGGTCCATGCAATTCATGAATGAGTACAGGGAGAAAAGTACCACAGCTCACATAACTGCTGTAGTTCATCGACTGTTCATAGATATTGTTGAAAAAAGGACATGTGGAATGAATTACAACTTTCATTAAAAACAGTAAGGCACCAGGGGGAAAACATGAAGTTTAGGTCTGCATGCATTAGTGGAAGACACAACAGGGATTTCTGTGTGGAAGAAGCCAGGAGGACTACATACAGTGTGGGAAAGTAGGGGATAATGGAAGGTAGCCAAGGAGCTCCCGAACCAGTCGTTTTTCTCAAGATGTTATTAGTGTGACATCAAATAAGTTGTTATATGCTGGCTCAATTTGCTTTTAATACATTTTATTCATACTCTTCTGCTCATTACCCTCCCTTAATGATCTTAGTATTTCTTCTGAGTTCAAGGTGGTCATTTGATGTGACTGAACTATAAGATAATATGCCACTGTTCCTCAATTTTCATTGCCCATAGACTTGCTTTTATAGAAATGTTTTTCCATTAGCATTTGAATTATTATTCATAAGACTTATTTAATGTTCAGTTATTTCTATGAAACCAAATTCAAGTTTCAAAATGCTGCATAGATACAGTACAATCAAGGAAAGGAGGATTCAATTTTATGAATAACCAGGTTTGAAAGGAAATATAATCTGTGCTCTCTCAGAACCATTCAGTAGATATTTATGTGCCCTGATTTTGTGGATGATGATTTCTGGGCTCCTTTCATGAGCTCTGCTTTACACACAGTGCAAAAATACAATGTGGGTGACCCTGCAGGACAACCAGTGCTACTGTTCTGCTCTTGTTTCAGCAGTGAGTTGCAGTCTGGCATGAAAATGACTGTGTGAAAATGTGTGCATGCACAGGGGTTTGGTGACCAATGCGAGCAGATAAGAGTTGAAGGGATCAACCTCAGTTTAGCTTTTTATGAGAGGAGCCAAAATACCACAGGCTTTGAGTCTTCACCTTCCTTCAAGAAACATGTGTGTTTATTTAGGAGGCAGTAACATTTGAGGATGTAACTGTGAACTTCACCAAGGAGGAGTGGGCTGTGCTGAATCCATCCCAGAAGAAGCTCTACAGAGATGTGATGTGGGAAACATTTATGAATATGACCGCTATAGGTAAGGATGACATCATTTTCTCCTTTATACAATCAAAGAGTATTGGCTCATGCTCATGGCTGTGGTTCAATTAAATAGAACGTTATAACACTTTGAAGAACATCTCAGGGCTGTTTAACTACTTAACAGACTCTAACTGGAATCTATTGATTTTTATGTAATAATATAGTGATTTTTTATATTTCCCCATCTACAATTCAGGAAGAACCTGGGATAACCAGCAATGTGAAGAGGATTGCAAAGCTTTCTCAAGGAATCTAAGGTAATTTGCACTCACAAGGAAACAGAATATTCCTGAAGGGTCAGCATGTGAGCAGAAATATTTCAGCCAAGGAAACTGTACAAAAGGGACCATATTCAAATTTGTTTACTCTCAAAAAATATCTCCAGAGATGCATACAGGTTGGTGTAGTGTGATCTGACAATTGAACACAGAAATATTCTAATACAGGAAACTGACTTAATACTGATATGCAAGAAGTGACACTATCTGATACATCAGTATAAAACATTCTTTCGTGATTAACATCATGAAATGTAGGAGACTGCGTTTAGATATTGTGTATAGGCATATGTGACAAGAATAACTTCTGAATTTTGACAGGAACTCATCTTTAAGATATCTGTGTATACATGTGAATGTGAGGTATTCATTAGCTAATGAATCACTAACCTGAAAGCAGTATTCAAAATGCACATGAATGGTAGTATTGTAATAATGGATGTTTTCAAAACATCCTCCAGAGAACTGAGTCCATTCATATAAGAAGGCACCCTCCTGGCAAGCGCAAGGTCGTGAGTTCGGTTCCCGGTACCGGAGAAAAAAAAAAAAAAAAAAAAAAGAAGGCACCCTCATATATTGTTGGTGGGATTGTGAAATAGAACGATTATAACAATCAATAAGCAGATGTCTCAAAAGGTAAAAATAGAAGTTTCCATTTGATCCAGACATACGTTCCTGAGTGTATTCTGAAAAGTGTTAAAAGCAGCATGTTTTAGTGATCCATGCATACCCATGCTCAGAGCAGTACATGCATGAGTATTCACAATAGCTGTGCTCTGGAAGCAATTGAGAATATCTAAGCTTGGAGACAGCCTAGATGCGTATCGCTGGATGCTTGGATAAAGAAAATATAGGACAGGTACAACATGGTACATTCTTGTAATCCCAGCACTCTGAGAAGCCAAGTCAGCAGGAAAATAATTTGAATGCAGGCTGAGCATATTAGTGATTGATGAGAACCTCTATCAAAATAAGAAATAAAAACAGCTGAAAATGTTATTCAGTGCTAAGACCTATGTTTAATTCTCAACAGTGAAAAAATGTGCTATATATTCAGCCAGAAAGAAGAGTGAATGATAGCATATCATTTGTGCAAAACAGATGAGACTTCATCCCATAATATTGTGAAATAAGGCAGACACAGAATGGGAATTATCATGTTTCCTTTTATATAAGAAACTAAAAATATAAATTAAGCAGTAAAATAAAGGAGAGGCGATAGAAAACAGAAAGGCTGACTTGTTGGAGGTGGGAAAGATGGAGAGATGATGAGGGTAGGGAGAGAAGGGGAGAGTGACCAGGGAAAGGTCAGAAATCATCAATATGGGATACATACAGCACTAATCCCCTAAAATGAAACTAGACTTTTTATATTGCAAACATATGCCAATTTAAAATTCCCAAATGAAAGCCATCCTTTTGAAAATGGGTGTTTTGGAGGCATCCTACAGGGCATTAAGTCAATTAATCTACTTTTTTATCGGTCATCAAACCAGAACTTGTCTTCATAAACTATGAATATGAAGGCCTTTTTATTATAATTGATATATTTTTCTCTTTTTTTGCAGGAATGAAATGGTAGCAAAATGTGATTAATGTAAAGATTGGAATCAACAGGAGGAAATATTTCTCTGGTCTCCAGATGCTGATGTGGACATGAAGAAAGCTGCTTTAAAGCCAGCTGAAAGCCTTGCTTGTAGAAAGCCCCTGATTGGACATTTATCACTAAATGTTCCCATTTTACCTCACAGTGAACTGAAGCCAGATGAGTATGTGTGGTTTGATAACAAGCTGGGTAATTGTAATGAACATGGAAAAACCTGCAGCGATCTCCCATCCTTTCTGAAGCATGCAAGGACAAAGACTGAAAAGAAGCCTTATCAATATGAGATATGCAGGGAAACCTACTCTGACTTTAGTGAAAGAACTCACCCTGGAGAGAAGAGCTCTTTAGGTAATAAGTGTGAAAGTCTCTAGCACTCCCAGTGGTGTTCTAAGCCATGAAAGAAATCACGGTGAGGGAAATTCATATGTATGCAAACAATGTGGGAAAACTTTTATTTCTTCATATCATATTCAAGTACATGAAAGAAGGCATGCTGGAGTGACGCCCTCTGTATCTAAGGAATGTGTGAAAGGAATAGCTCATAGTAATATCATTTACAAAGATAAAATAATTTACACTGGAAAGAAACTCTATGTATGTAAGCAATGTGGGAAACCATTTAGTACACTCAGTCACTGTGAAAGACATGAAAGAATACACTCTGGGGGGAAACCCTATGTATGTAAGTAGTGTGGAAAAGCATTCATGAAGTCCAGTCATTGCCAGGTCCATGAAAGAATTCACACTGGGGAGAAACCTTATCCATGCAAGCAATGTGGGAAAGACTTCGCTACACAGAGTTGTTGTAAAATACATGAAAGAAGTTATATTAGGGAGAAACCCCATATATGTAAGCAATGCATAAAAGCATTCTTAATATCCAGTCATTGCCAGGTACTTGAAAGAATTCACACTGGGGAGAAACTTGATGCATGTAAGCAATGTGGGAAAATATTCACTACATTGAGTTATTGTAAAATATATCAAAGAATTTACATGGAGGAGAAACCCTATATATGTAAGCAATGTGGGAAAGCATTCACTATACACAGTTATTGTAAAATTCATGAAAGAAAGCACACTGGGGAAAACCCTATATATGTAACCAATGTGGGAAAGCTTTCACTACACAGTATTCTTGTAAAATACATGAAAGTAGTCACACTAGAGAGAAACTATATATATGTGAGCAATGTGGAAAAACATTCAGTAGACATAGTTATTGTCAAAGACATCAAAGAACTCACTGTAGGGAGAAATATTATGCATGTAAATGATGTGGAAAAGCATTCACTACACATAGTTAATGTGAAATCCATGAAAAAATCGCAGTGGGGAGAAAACTTACGTGTGCAAGCAATGCGGGAAAGCATTCAGTACACACATTTGATATAAAATACATGAAAGAACTCACACTGGAGAGAAACCCTATGTATGTAAACAATGTGGGAAAGCATTTACTACACACAAATATTGTCAAATACATGAAAGAACCCAGAGGTGAAAACCCTTTGTAGGTAAGCAATGTGGGAAAGCATTCATTAAACACAGTTATTACAAACTACATGAAAGTAGTCACAGTGGGGAGATCCCCTATGCATGTTAGCAATGTAGGAAATCTTTCTGTACACCTGATTATGTAAAATTCATGAATGAGGTTACACTGTGGAGAAAGCCGATGTACTGAAGCAATGTGGAAAAGTATTCAGTATACATGGGTATTTTCAAATACATGAAAGAAGTCACACTAGGGAGAAATCCTATGTCATGTTTTAAAATCCTGTGAAAATACTTATGTAGTGGGGGCATGTAGAAATAATATGAAAATTTTAATGTTAATATTTCATAAATTTTTCAGAAAATACTGCCAGATGGAGATATCCTAGAGTGTATTCATTCTGTGTTTTTTGGTAAATGTAACTATCTGAACTATGTATGTATAGTCTTTACTATAAAATATTGAGTTTATATAATCATAGATTTTTGTTTAAACCTGTGTCTTTAATTCAATATATGTTGTCTGCTAATTAAACAAAGTGAATTAAAGTGTAATTTTCACTTCCAAGTAGGGTTAGTATTTATGTAGTTTTTTTTTTTTTTTACAATTGGTAGGTATAGGCCATTAAAATTTGTTAATTGTTGGAATTCTCCACTAGCTTTGATCTCAGTTTTGTTGGGGTATATGCTCCATATTCTGTGTAACAAGAGATAATTTTGAATTTGGTGAGATGCATGTTTAGAGACTTGTGAACTTGGGCTGTTGACAAAGTTCAATTGTTTTCACACAACTTGTGGATGAGCAGATGTTATGTTTTTCACATCCTAACAAGAT